AACGCATCAATTTCATGCTGATATCCTTTGTGATATAATTGGTGCTCCTAAAGCAAGAAGGGATATTACAACAGCTAAGGGTAGAAAAATGTTGTTTTTGAGCAAGACTGCGCAAATTTTTGGAGAAAACATCTCTTGTGAGTATGAGTATCAATCAGGCACCGCCAAAGCTTCTAGCATTATCCATCCGGTCTTGAAAGTAGCTCACCGGATCATTGCTTCTCTCTTATTCCCTCAAGAAGAGATTAGCAAAGCTAATAAAAAAGAGCTAGAAGTCTTGTGGTGTATGATTAACAAGCCTGCAGAAGTCCCTCATTTTGGTTGTTGGGTTATTCAAAAAATGCTCAGAAGTGCTACGAGCAATGGTGGACAGCTACATTGTGGAGGCATGGTTTCTATTATTGCAGAGCATCTTGGCCTCCATCTACCTAATAACCCAACAAACATCATCATGGGTCGTACTCGTCTATCAATTGATGTTATGGAAACAATGCATCTCTTCCACCGCCTTCCCACTGGGGATATTCATTGGACAGTAGATGGGAAAGAGTATCTACGTATAGACAGCAAAAATAAGAAGATACTCAATTTAGCCAATGATATTCCATCAACTAATTGGAAACTCAGATCCAACTTAGGTGTTACAGTTGATCATAGTCCTCCATCCTCTCCTCCTCCTGCTCCTCCTGCTCCTCCTACTCCTACTGCTGGTGCTTCTAGTTCCTCTCGCCCTATTCCTTTTTCTGAACATAACCTTTATATGGGCGAGTTTGCGCGTTTGAATCATCGTTACACCAGTCTACAACAGGAAATCGGGGAAATTTATACGGGTGTCGCTGAAATCACTTCTGATTTTCAGGACTACCGTAACTTACAGGAAGAGCATTGGGCCCAACAAGAGTTGCGGTGGGCTGAGCAAGATCAAAGATGGGCTACTCAAGAGCAGCACAACCTTAACATTCACCATCTGCTGAGTGATATCCATAGAGTTCCTGTGCTCCCCACACAGTCGCAGCAGCCATCAGCATCCCAACCCCAATGGCCTCCCTACTATCCTACAGATTACCCTTCACAGTTCCCTCAATATCCTCCACCTGGTCCTCAATAGGACGGCTACGCCTCTCTCCAAGCATCGAGGACGATGCTATACTTTAAGCTTGGGGAGGGGTATCCATCCATGCATTATCCCGTTGCATGTAGGTTGCATGTAGTTTTGTACATATTGCATTAATTTTCATTTCATTTTCGTTTTAATTTTTTTCTGCATGGAAAATTTTTCAAAAAAAAAAGATCCAATCCCAAGCAACCGAATCTTTTCAAAACAGTTGAGCAGGTAAATGAGTCATGTGCGTTGAAATTGGCTTGCTTTTCTTATTGAAAAAAATCTAAAAGCAAGTTAATCACACACGAGCACATCTCCCGAAGTTACTCGTGCAAAACAGAAAATGAGAAGATTGTCAACACTGGAGCATAACAGCAGGTATGAGTCGATTCTTTGGGACATATGACCGGTCTTATGAGTAGTAATGCTCAATTGAACTTAAAATGTCAAATTCAAAAGTTCATAAAAAGAATGCAAAATCTCAATGTCCCGCCTTCCAGCGCTCTTAAAAGTTCTTTCTACTTATTCCCTTTTATATATACCCTGCTTGAGGACATAGCTTTCAACTATACTTACGAGTTTTTGCATGTTAACATTTAGTCCCCCGAAAAATGTCTTAGAAGTCCTCACGGTAATAGACCGTGAGATGTCCCACAATAGAAAAGTCAAGGACGGAAATATAAGGAAATTGGCCAAATAAACAAATTAATAAGAGTGTTATGTGTTAACTTAGTTATTTGTATATGTGTTATATTTATAAATAAAAAAAAAAAACTATTATTAAGTTAATCTGTGACCTTTGGGATTCGAACAAGTAAACTCTGAGGGGTGTTCTACACCTAATCACCTAAAGCTAAATTGTTTGGGATTGATTGGGTTGAAAGTTCGCTATACGGGTTCCATAGAAAGTCATGAACTTAATAATAGTAAATAAAGCTAATCTGTGGCCTTTGAGGTTCGGGCAAGTAAACCCGAGGGATCTCTTTAAATCTAGCACACTAAGGTCATTTGATTTGGATGTGTTGGTTGAAAGCCTGCTACACGGATTTCAAAGAAAGCCATGAGCTTTATTTATAAAAAAAATGTAATTAGAAAGTTTGTACATAGTTGTGTTTATAGTTTAATTAGATGTTGTGTTTAGGAAAAATAAATGGCTGTCAAAAGATTCCCTTGGACTTGGATTTGAATTTATGACATTGGATAGAATGTTAATTACTTCGACTGGTGTAAGTGGTTTGAAGTTTGTAACCAATCTGGATAAATATTAGGGAATTTTTAGAAAATATTTTTCAGAAAAAGATTGTTGTTAACCAACAAATAGCTGGAATCGGACATTGTTATATTTTATGAAACAAAGATGGTTGAGCATGTTTTGTCACATATAATTTCACGAGGATAAGACCATAATTTGTTCCAAGAATTGACTTGATGGTATTGAAAATGAATAAGTGTTGTGATCTTTGATTCTGTTGAGTTGTACTAGGGAGTGGCCAAAGTCTTGTTTCTATTATCATATAATATTTTGAGACTAAAGCCAAGTTAACTCAAGGCATGACAGGTACATTCTCAACTATGGTACAAAACAGGGTAATTGGGTTGGATCTTTTCATGCTTGTTTTGATTTCATGCATTAAGTTATAAATAGTCTTAACTTTAATTTTCTTTTCTTCTATTCTAATTTTTTTTCTTTTCTAGTTTAAATCTTCTTGTTCTTTCTTGAGGACAAGAAAGGTTTAAGCTTGGGGAGATTTGTTAGGTGCATTTCATGCATTCATTTTTTATAGTTTTAGTTCATAAAAGTGCATTATATTTAGGTTTAGACTCATGCATTTTGTATAATTTCGGGATTTTTCATGATGCAATTCCATTCACATGCTTTTAGGATATTTCATGGACTTATGAAGGTTGGATCTTGTTGGAGGAAGTTATCAAGAGTTGGAGACAAAGTTGTAGAAGTTTTGGAGCTTTGAAGAGAGAGAATGAAGAAATGAAGAATTTGGTTTCACAGGAGTTTACACGGTCGTGTAAATTTATGCCTTTGATTTACACGGGCCGTGTAAACGTATATGCAAGGACATTCTACTTCGAAGACCTGGAAGAATTAAGCATTCTACTTTTCTTGTTTACACGGCCATGTAAATGGAACCCTTTGGTTTACACGGGCCGTGTAAACGTCTCGGCAGTTTTAAAGTGGTTTTGTCTTCTTATAATTCAGACAATCAGTTTTTAAAGGAGGTTAGGTCGGATTTTGGGAGGAGAAGAGACGATTTTCAGAGCTTTTGCAAGTAGATTAACACTTGGAAAACACTTTAATTTCTTTTTGTAAGTCAATTTGAAGTTTAAACCTGTTTGATTTGTAGTCCAACCTAGATATGTGTGGTTGATTTTATTATCATTTCCGAATCTGAATTCTTAAGTATGTGTTGTTAGGATGTAACTTGAATTCAACTTATGTTTAACATCTAGTAATCTTTGATTTGATCTTAATCATGTGTTTGGTTAGTTCTCTTTTTCACTTGATCAATGAACTAGGGTTCTATTCAATCTAGTTAATCACATCATGAAATTCGTATATGTTTTATGATTTGATGTTAGTAACACTCACTTACTTGGTTGTAATTAGATCAAAATTAGTGCAATCAAAGATTAAATGTTTATATTCCCAAGCTTAAGAGGAATGTTAAACATTGTTGGTAATTAGTGCAAGAACTTAATGTCATTTAATGATTTAATGCAAGAGTTTATTTGGGTTGAATCAAATAAATGAAATTTTATTTAAAGAGCTTATTTTGAATAGAATACTTTTGCCAATTTGGATATTAGAGTTTATTAATATCCAACTTACCAACCTAGATTGAAACATGAGTTATAATCATATTACATCTTTCAACATAATACATATATAAGAGTCAGAATCGGAAATGTACTTCTTCTACTGCGTTTGTTTTCAATCTTTCTTATTTATGAAGTTTAATTCAAGTTTAAATACAAACCCCCATTTCAATATTACTTGTATTATGTGTGAAAATATGGCAAGATAAAAAGTCCCGTATCTCTGTGGACCGACCCTGCTTACTCTATACTATCTTTAGTATTAGAAAAAGCAGTGATTTAAGTTATATTAATATTATTTTATCCCATCATTTGTTGGTTTGACACCCAAACATATTCCAACTGAAGATGAGAAAATTCAGTTATTCATGGAAGGACTACGACACGAAATCCATGATTTCGTTGTCAACCGGGATGTTTTGTCACTTGATAAAGCCGTTGAGTATGCTCGAAGTCGTGAGCGTGACTTAGAAATACGTGGTGCTACTCTTACTATTCCAAAGCATCCACGTACTGAAAGAACTACTCCAACTTCCATTATTCCACCAGCTCAATCTATTCGAACTGATCCTAGCAAGCAAGCACAATCTCAGAGTGCTTTTCGTGGCCCTGGTAGGTCACAATCTTTTTCTATTCAATCACCATCATGTCGCGTTTGTGGAAGGAATCATCCGGGTCAATGCAAAATAGACAAAGAATCCATTGTCTGTTATGGGTGTGGAGAAATAGGTCATATCAAGCCAGCTTACCCAAGAAAGGATGTGACTTGTTATGCATGTGGTATTACTGGCCACAAGAAGCGTTTTTGCCCTACTCTTACCAGCCAAGTGACGGAAAGTCAAGCTTCTGTTCAACAACCAGCGAGAAGTCAAGTCCCTGTCCAACAACCAAAGAGTACTCCAGCTAAAAAGGAGGAGGTGCCAAAAGCTAAGGGTCGTGCATTCCAGATTACCGCAGAGGAAGCACGTGAGGACCCAAATGTCGTGATGGGTACATTTCTTGTCAACTCTAGACCTGCTCACATCTTATTTGATTCTGGTGCTTCAGATTCTTTCGTATCTTATGAATTTGCGCATTCTTTTCAAACTATTTGCTATGCACTTGCGCAACCATTTCACGTAGATACTGCAGGAAGTATATCATTACTTGCTGATAAAATCTATAGGGATTGTGTCATAGAAATTGAAGGCTATAATTTTCTTGCTAACCTAATCCCTATCTCCTTGCCCAATTTCGATATTATTCTCGGCATGGATTGGTTATCAAAGAACCATGCAGAACTTTTGTGTTACGAAAAGATGGTACACATTCCTATTGAAGGGGAAGATCCTATTCATATCCATGGTGAATAAAGAATCTTAAAAATAATCTCTTTCTTCAAAGCTCGTAAATTCATATCGAAAGTTTGTCCTATCTATCTGGCCTATACAGTTGACATCTCAAGAAAGGAGAATAAAACTGTAAATGATATTCCCATTGTTAACGAATATCCCGATGTTTTCCCGATGATCTGCCTGGACTTCCTCTGGACAGACAAGTAGAATTCCGAATTGACCTTGTGCCCGGTGCTGCTCCGATCGCAAAGACTCCTTATTGTCTTGCACCAGCCGAGATGAAAGAAATGATGATCCAACTACAGGAATTACTTGACAAAGGCTTTATTCGACCGAGTACCTATCCCTGGGGTGCTCCAGTATTGTTTGTCAAGAAGAAGGACGGATCGATGCGAATGTGCATTGATTATCGTGAGCTGAATAAAGTGATTATCAAGAACAAGTACCCACTACCTCGCATCGATGATTTATTCGATCAACTTCAGGGTGTTAGCTATTTCTCAAAAATTGATTTGAGATATGGCTATCATCAGTTGAAAGTACAAGAGCAAGATGTACCGAAGACTACTTTCCGTACTCGTTATGGGCATTTCGAATGTCCTGTCATGCCATTCGGTTTGACAAATGCTCCTGCCGTATTCATGGATATGATGAATCGAGTGTGCCGCCCAATGCTCGATAAGTCTGTCATTGTATTCACTGATGATATTCTAATCTATTCCAAGTCTGAAGCCGATCATGTCATTCATATTCGTGAAATCCTAGAACTCCTTCGAAAGGAGAAACTTTATGCTAAATTCTCGAAATGTGAATTTTGGCTCCGTCAAGTTCAATTTCTCG